AACACATGTACTGTACATTAAGCCAAATGTGTTATCTTTATTAAAGAGTTATTGTGGATATGATTCTATTTCACTGGAGAGCTGAGATAATCACCACTTTTTAAAATACAAATTTAGTCCAAAATTGATTTCTTCTCAGAAAACTAAATAATTTCTGAAAAAAAGTTTACTTTTGCAGAATAATTATTCTATGTGAAAATAATTGAGCCATTTTTCAATTATTTCAAAACCAAAGCATAATATTTGGCATTAGAAATGATTAAAATATTCTCCAAACATTTAAAATACACAGACTGAAAACTTTAAAACAAAGACTTCAAAAGTTGACTTCTGGAATGAAGATAGCTTCTTGTTTTACAGCCAGTCATAGAAGAATTTTCTTGTATCTTTATATTATAGTGTGTATAATATAGGAGCCTTAAGGGTAAAAACACTGGCATGTAAAAAAACATTAAGGTCGATTATTAGAATTTAATGTGGCCTGTAACAACACAGAAAAACTAAAGCTGGGTGCTCTTGGTCTTTCATGGCCGCAGCCTCTATGCCTGTTCCTTGTATTTAAGTTTCATAAATTGTTCAAAACTTTATCGATAGAATTAATAGCCAAAATACTGCTTCTCGACATCTGGTTCATATTCTCCCGGTTATGCTGGTGCAACTCTAAATTAAACTGAATGCCTTATGTGAAGCCACTCCAAATTTATGTTGGTCTAAGGAAGACGTGAACTTGGTTCTTTGTCTTTAAAAGATGTCTGTATTTGCAGCCAAATAAAATCCCATACACTTACCTACTCAGTGGCACAAGAGTGCCATCCAGCGGTAATGCCCGAAGCTGTATTTGCCGAAGACGTTCCGGGAGAGCTGGCTGGTAGCCGGTACTGGTTACACCGACCAACCCTGACAGCTGCAACTCCAAACTCCCCGAGTAGCTCTTGCTAGGTTGAGAGGAACATTTCTGTTACAGATTAATAACTTTTCTTTCTCTCCTTCTTTTTTTTTTTTTTTTTTTTTTTTTTTTAAATCAGTTTTCCATAATGAAACAGTTTAGACAACGAATGTAGATTGCTGCTTGCTTGAGTAGGCACATTCTGAAGTGGGAGGCTCCTGGGCTAGATAAGCTCAGAAGCAGGATGTAACCACCATCGTAATATATGCTGCATCTCAGCTAATGAACTCTTTTACTTTTCAGCCCCCTCTGATGGTATGGCATTACTCAGTTCTGATAGGAACACGCCAGTGTTAATTTGAGCATCCTTGTACAGAACTTCACAACTCGCTCTAGTCATGGCCTGCGCAGGGGACAGAGTTGACAGTGATAGTGATCAAGCTTTGAAGCTAGTTTCAGGTAACTGCTTATGCACCCAGACATCAGTGTTATTACTGATATCTCTGATCTGCAAAGAACAGGCCCTGAACTCATAAATGCTTTACCTGCTCCAGTGTATCATAAAAATGTCTTTTCAGAAGGAACAGGTACAGTTGCAGTTGTGAAGACTCAGTCCCACTAGCATCCATTAGAGGGGTTTGAGGATCACCTCTTGAACTGAACCACTCTGGGGACTTGAATGGAGTAACAGATAGTTTTTGGTTCCCGACTGAGTTGAGATATGAGTGAGTGCCAAGCTGCTTAGCCATGTTGAACTGGTGCAGATCTGGGTACTTACAGAGAGGCTCTATACAGCAGAGTAGCTTATGCAAAAACACATAAGGTAGCTTGGGAATTTAGGCATGATGCAAGGTCAGATACAGCTCACTGTGGTTTTCTACCACCTCTGTTTCAGATTTAGGAGCTCAAATTCTGCCCTAAACACTTATTTTTTTTGGATTTGGCCTGTAGCCAATTAAATAAATTATGGTTAAAACCCTACGTACTTCATGCAGATTTTACTGATCTACCTTATTCTCTGTCTCACCCTCCTGCCCATCTGTAATGTCTTCCTTTGTAGTTATCTGTATCTGTTGCAGTGCAGATGCGTATAATGATTATGAATGATTCATGGATTTGTTTGGCCTGATTGCCCACAGATTAAATCATTTTGTACAATGTTGCTGTTAGTGTTCTACATTCATCTTACTTCTAAACAGAAATTATCTGGGGTTGTGGGCTCACCACTGCAGATAATACTTACAAGGCAGAGAGCTCATCCCAATGAGCAGCTGTTTCTGCAACGGTCTCTTCAGGAGATGTAGAAACCGGAGAAAGGATACTTTTATTTCTAGGTAAAATTCCATTTTGATGCATCTCTTGCACTGACACGTGAAATGAGATACCAAAGACTCTATTTACTCCTATGAGCAATACAACAGTGGAGTTTCTCCCTCTAACCTCTGTAAGAGACCAATGGGCTGCATATAAAGAAACTGATAATATTCCATTATTTCTGAGGTCATCTACTACTTCACATTTCACTCTGTTCAAGAATGATCAGGTAGGCACTAAAATGTTACAAATAAACTACTTTACCTAGCATAAGTAGTCATATCCAAAATTATTCAAAATATTAGGAATATTCAAAATATTAGGGAGTGTGGAAAATAAATTCTACGCAAACATCAGACTCATTCTTCAGGACAAAAATGAATATGTCTTGACTTTAGTGTGGTACAATTGCTTTGAGACTATAAGATTACTTTGAGACTGGTGTAAATCAGCTCTTTGTATGTTTTGTAGCAATCCTCATATTACAGATATGCAGTAAAATGAAACAAAGGATCATTTATGTTTCTTAGTTCCATAGGAAGTAAGCCAAAAAAAAATACGTGTCCTCAGACATTTTCAAGGAAGTTTGATTCCTTTTCTGCTAATGAAACCCACGCTGCAATCCACAGATCATTCAAAATTTAAGAGAAAAGCTTCAATTCTCCCCTTCAAAACAAAGCAGAACCCAAAAGCTTATTACCAGAAATACAGATAGTATTTGGTGTCTTTGGGATTGACACTGTTTCCTTGAATTTGTCCCATAAACCAGGACAAATCTTTTGCCGGTCTTTTCTCAGGTGAGCTGCCTTCCCCTAGATAAGATTTTATTGCTGGCTCCTGTGCACAGGTAGAACAACCTTATCTTCTTGGAATGCAAGTGCTCTGTCATTGCAAAAGGCTGCAGTGGGCAGTTGCAGTGACAGGATTAATACCAACTTGCTGTCCAAGCAAAGCTTTGGAGCAAAGGTAGGGTACAGAGAAAATCATAGTTTGCATTTTCTGAAACTTTTTTTGAGGCTTGGTATTTAGGAAATCAAAAATATTGATTGGGGGGTTGTCTAAATTTGGTAAAACCTTGATACTTTTCGTACTTGATTGGACCAGAAATGAAAGGACAACTGGCACAATTGCATCCGTCCGGGGTGCAGACCTCAAAGGATGAGCTAAACCAAGGTGCTCCCTGCAGACACAGAAGGATCTGCCACCTCCTGTTTCTAGTGTGGACAATATAGCGACGGAAATAATTAGTTAATCTTTTGTTTAAATAACGCGTTTGAGAAAAAGGCTAAAAATAAACACTGATTCATTCCTTGTCAGGGAAGTTTCTCCTGTCAATTATCACATTGTTACTGCTGTTTTTAATGTAGTCAGATGGTGAGATTGGCAATCCCTTCTGCAGGGGCTTCTGGGTGTTATTTTGTAGAGAATCTTGCTTGAAGGACTGATTACTGCTTTTATGGGAGCCAGTGGGAGTTTGGCCACAGTCCTTCACGCATGTTAATTTGAGGGACTTCCAAATGTTAGCTAATGATCTCAGAGTTCTTTTTATGAAAAATGTGTGGGTTTGTTTTGGGGTTTGGGTTTACTTTTTTTTTTTTTTTTTTTTTTTAGAAAAAAAAAAAATTCCTAGCAGGAGGCAATTAAGAGGGCTGGGGAAAGTTCTGCACTGTAGTTCAGGACTGGCCTCTCAATAACGCCCAAAGTCCTACCGTGAAAAATTCAGTGGCATATATTGCTACCATACTCAGATATATTATACATAATATATTATAATTGAAGGTATTAGTATTACCCACACAGTCCAGGACACGTGCTTTGATTTTTTATGGACTGGGTGTATCTATTGGCCTCCACTTACAGTAACTTGAAAAAACAATTACTCCCTTTCTTTTTTTGGAGCAATACTAAGGAAAATGTAGTAGCCTCCACCCCAAAGCAGGAAAACATGTCAACATGAATAAGAGAAGCACGTGTGGGCGGGGGAGTTTCATTCCTGACTGTTTTATGAAGCCTTATGTAGCTGTAAAGAAGAAACAGAGAAGAAGAAAAAAAAGCAAACTCCGTAGAAGCTGAAGCATATGAGCAGAAAGCCAAAGACACAAGTCCAAGCAAGCACTGGGGCTGTGGCTCAGAGGAAAACGTTCAGAGAGGGATCTTTGGGCTAAATGCTGACTTAAAAGGGCTTGGAACTGAGTGCAGAAACAAACAGCTCCTCTCCGTGCTCCCCCTTCCCACCGACAAGAACAACCAAAAAAAAAAAAAAAAAAAAAAAAAAAAACCAAAGTTTGTTTCTAGCAGCGATCAGGCCTGAAACATCACGTACATTCCTCATGAGCAACAGGGCTCTGTCACGGCAGCGAGCGGCCGCGGCCCGTTCCCGCCGGCATGTCCGCGGCTCCCCGCGCCCGCGGCCCCGCCCGCCGCCCCGCCGGGCACCGCGCCCGCGGGCGGGGCCGCGGCACCCCGCGGCGCCTCCCGGGGCCCCGTCCCCACGCGAGGGCCGAGCGGCAGCCGGCAGCGCGCCCCGCCGCTTCCACGGCGGCCGGGGGCAGGGGCCGCGCCCCCCGCCCGGGCCGCGCCCCGGGGAGGTGAGGGGGAGCCCGGGGAGAGGGAGGAGGCGGGCGGAGGCGCCCGGCTGCTGCGCCGGGGGGGCGGGTTTCGCTCGCAGGAGCTGCTGGCCAGGGGGGCCCGCTAGCCGCGGGGCTGGCGGCCTTCGTTCGCGCCGCAGCGGGGGCTGCGGGATGGGGGAACCCTCCCTCCTCCTCCTCCTCCTCCTCCGGGGTCGGGAGCGTGTGTCCCCGGTCAGTGCCCGGGGTGAGGGGTGCGCAGGGGGCGGTGTCCCCCTGAGAGGGCAAACCCCCTGGCAGTGGGTGCAGCCGGGCTGGCTTTGCTCTGACCAAGTGCCAGCTCACGAAATTCTTATTTTTCCTAATTTTTTTTTTTTTTTTTTTTCTTTTTGGCTCCATGTTCTGTCAGCACCAAGCCCGAGCTGAGGTGGGGACCCGGAGCACCCGGAGGTGAGCCTGCCCGGGGCGGTGGGGCCCCGGCGGCACCTGCCGCAGGCCGGCGCTGGTGCTCTCCCAGGGAGCGCTGAGGCGGCCTCAGTGCACACGGCTGTCCCGCTGCCCGAGGGGACCCTGCGCGCTCGTACACAGAGTTGCGTTCGGCCAAAGGTACGAAAGGAAACGAAGCGCGCGAAAGGAAGGAAGGAAACGGCGTCCGAGCTCTGCAGCCCGGAGGCCGCGGGGGAAAGGGGAGCTGCGCCTTCCGCGGTGCCGCGCAGGAGGCCTGGGGTAGGGCCAGCCAGAGCTCTTGTTGCCTCACTTCCAGTTTGGGAGATTCACCACCCTCCTTTTGCTCCTTCCCTTTTCCACAATCAAAGAGCATAAAGCAAGAAAATGCCTTCTACCGAGCAAAAGACAAACAAAGAAATGCAACCATCCAAAACCCAAGCCAAAGTGCATCTGGCTTGGGATGAATACTGGACCTCGTTAGCTGAGAGTGAGGATTTTTCAGAAAGCCAAGCTCCAGTCAAAAATGGACCCTGTCATTCGGAGTCTGAATATGAAAACAGCTTGCAAAACATTTTTTCAGGCTTCTAACAAAAGAGTTGGTCCTTCTTTTGCTCTGGTATCTAGGCTACATTGTGCAGGCTCATGCATATCGCTAGTTTTATTCACATGAGTAATTCCATTTGAATTTGGAGTGACAATGTGTATGTGTAAAGTTACTCATATGCTTGCTGTCTCCTTTATATATTGAAATTATGTGGGTTTGTTTTTTTTTTTCCATTTGCTGGTGCAGCCCAGTAACTGTTGGCATCAAGGTTATTGTGAACCATCACGGTTATTATTACTGTTTGCTCGCCTGACACCTTTGTTTTCTTTGCCAGACTAAAACGCAGCTATTCCTCTCTATGCAATCTATTCCAGCTATGCAATTGTATCATCTGCTTTTATGCAACCATCTTTCACCTGACTGTGAAAATTCATCTTCCCTACAAAAGATCCTTTTTGCACTCAGTTTTTTTCTCCAGTCATTACTGACAGTCTTTCCAGTTGTGCCATCTGATTCTTTCTCACGCAAGTCTCTCATGTCTTATCCCATACTGTGTATTCTAAATTCATACTGATTCTAACATGATATCTGGATGTTTTAATATTTGCCAGCTGGAACAATTTATTATTCTCATTGCCAAATGCCCTCTCTTTCCTCCCTCATATTTCTTTAAGCTACAGCTTCTGCTCTTCTCATAACTTTCTGTGTCTTCTCTATCCCATTGCTCCATGTTTATCTAAGGGCAAAATGTCTTGGGAACGAGAAAAACACATTGTCTATCTTCCACAAAGGATGGCATTAAGTTGTAAGTGTGGTTGAGTGTTTTATTTGATGTTCCTTTTCCTCAGTCAGGGACTATAAAGAACAAATAAGTAAAATTCAGTGGATACTTATTTTTTTTTTTTAATGGAAGATAATAGCTTTCCATTGATATACTGTCAGCTGTCAGGTATATACTATAGTACTCTAATTCATGCCTGAGGAGAGTAGGCAGACTGGGCAGCCACCGACTCCTCTGTCAACCAAAGTCTTTCTTCCTAACCTAGAAAATTTTGTGAATTGGTGCAAGTAGAGTGTCCCTTAGGAAATAAAGTATTTTGAAGTTGCTTCAGCAGCGGTCATGAGCTGTCAAGAAGATGCATTCAGTCACACCTAAGTACAGATTTATTACACTGAATCTCCAGGGCATCTGCCTGCTGTATCTTGAAAGAACCCAAGGAGTAAGTTTTTGTGAAATCCCTAAATGATGTCTTCTAGGAACACTGAAAACTGCTATTTCCAGGGGGAAGGGGTGATGACCCCATGTATTGAAATGACCTGTTTCCAGTGGTGACAGTACAAATTACTTCCAAGGAAAGGGTAAAAGGCCAAATACATTTTAGACTGCGCTGGGAACATGGTGGGAGTTTCTCATTTCTTTTATCTTGAAGTGTGAAGACTAGGAACTGTATTTCCTCCCTCTGCCATATCTAGAACATGAAAAATTACCTGTTTGTCTCAGCTAACATCCCAAGAGCCATCTTGCTGCAGTGACACTTTACAGTCAGGGTGTCTATCCCAGTTACATCGTAAGACCACAACAGAGACTGAGCTCTTGACACGTCTATGGATGGAGTCACCAACAAGACCCTAAAGATTTGAAAAGCAGATTAGATTTCTGAAGTAAATATTCTGTTAAGGACCAAAAATAAATAAAACCCATACACGCATTAATTATCAGCATAAACTTTTGTTCAGGCATGGCTGGTGCACTGGGTTTATATGTCCATGACATCCTGTACCTGTGCCACCTACAAAATACACCTGTGTATTTTGAGAAGCCCTTCATTTAAAAAGTTCGTTCAAAATTGGGTTGCAATCAAATGATTAATAATAGTGATGGAAATCATAATTAACAGATTACCTAGGGAGATCTACTACTCAAAATTATATATTCATGTTCTTAAAACTGAAAAAAAAAAAAAACCAAATCCCAAACAAAACCCAACAACTGAAATTTTAATTTACTAAGGAGAATAAGCCATGAAATTAAGGTAGTATAGATATGATTACTTTTGTCTGTACCATAAAACTTATTTCAATACAGTGGCAAAGGTTGTTTCCTGCTTCATATACTAGAGTTGTCTATAAAGATGTAACAATCCCAGAAATATTTTAAGTACTGAGGTTCTTTTTTTCCAGATACTACCCCCTCCACCATATTTGGGAAATAGATTAAATATTTACTGTATTACTCCAAACTAAGTTGTATTTGTTTATTTTAAAATGAGAAGTATACCTAGCACATAGAAAATACAACTGGATATATTTATACTTCTTTATTTAATAAATTTTTATATTTATTACTACTTTGTAATAGAGACGGCATAGTACTACACAGTAATGAACATAAAGAATTTCTCTTCTGGGTAAAAGCTTCCAGGAAAAACCCAAAAGAGAATATATTAACATCAATTTGCAAAATTTAATTTTGGAATTATATGCAAACATATAAATTTATTCTGAAATTAGAGCTTTAATATTAACGTGACCTGAATTAAAGAAACACGATACCTTACCTACAGAGTTCCAGAAGGCAGCTGTTCACGAGTAGAGATTCATGATGCTCTCGTCTGTTTCGCAGTAAAGGTAACAGTCCCCTCCGTGGCCTAGGACTGCACTCTCCAGAAGTAGTAGTTACATATGTAGGTCTGCTATAGTTTATAGAAACTGTAATTATACATAACTGTTTTTGAAGAGTCACCTCCTTTGAAATGCCTGTTCACTACAGAAAGCATTCTGAAACACTGAAATGTAACAGTAATAATGTTTAAGAACACTACCTTAAACTTCTTAAAATTCAAATAAGAGTTATTCAACATAAAAGCCTTTCAGATTTTCTGTAAAATTTCAGCATGTCTGCTCTAATCTTTATAAAAACAACAGGGGCATTATCGTTCTGCTTGCAAGCACCTGTCATTTTTCTGAACCCTGAAATCGGGATGGAGCTGTGTCCCCTGCTTTGTTCTGTCATTTTACAAATCTTCCTGTCCTTCAGCTTCTCCCATAAGAAAAAATACCATTTTCTATCTCCTTCCTTTTGTCTTGACTACTTCAGTTGTAAGCTCAGTCGTGTAGTAACTGTGTTTTACACCACATAGCAAAGCAAGGCCCTTATTTCAATTCAGAATTCTAATAATACAGAAATATTACAGATACCTTTTATTCTTAGAGCCATTCTGGACTTTCAGGTTGAAATTCTGAACCTGAGCATCTCTGAAGATTAGTTCCTGTGTTTTTAAAAAAACAAAACCAAAAACCCCCCACCCACGAAACAGTTCATAATAAGTTCAAATTTTTGAAATAATAAAGTGGAAAATCTGAGGATACTAAAATTTATCACACGTGGTAAAGCATTGCAAGCAAATGAGATACACTGAAAAAAAAGCCCTCCCCCTTAAACTATTCTAAACAGTGTTTTTGTTTTTAAAACTTTGTAACTGCCTTGCAAGTCTTCAGTCAAAGTTTCCTCCTTATTCATGCAGGCAGTCCCACTGGAACAAGCATTACAATAAAGCCACCATTATAGTAAAGTTTTCTAAGATAAGTAGAATCGGGAAGATCTGTTATTATTCTCGAAGAGCAGTAAAACATCAAGTTGCCTAATAGGAAAATACAGTGTTCTGCACGGAAAGGTTCAAGGGTTGAGTTCAGAAAACTGGGTCATTAGCAAAAAAAAAAAAAAAAGATCAAAAAATGATTTCCTATATTTTTTCCCCAATATGAGTGGTTTCATATCTCATTATATTTCAAAAGGCTCGATCCTTTTAAATCTGAAACTTTTTTGAGTATATTGAAAACAGATGGAAATGAATCAGGGGACCGAGGTAGAAAAAAACCTTAATGAAGATCTATTTAAGTAATACTTTAAATAAATAAATCATTTATCTGAGAAACCACATCTATTAGAAATATAAATAATTATATAATGAACATATAAGCTACATTTCCTGAAGTAATTCTGTCTTTCTACATTTCCTGAATTATTCGTATTATGAAACAGTAGTGTGGCGCCATTAATTGATAAGCACTCTGTGCTATAGTTACCACGCTAATTGCAGCTCTTTAGGTCCTTGTCTTACAGCTCCTCCAGCCGTTTAACAATTGGGATTGATTGCACAGGAACTATTTTTAGAATGAAATGGCAGAAGAGTTTGGAGAGCAGCAGCCATTTTTTTTTGTGTGCTACAGCTGTTTTGGAAAAAAAAAAAAATTGGATAAAAATGTTCTGAGTTGTCTTTTTGGGTATTTTTTTTGAAATTCTGCTGAAGTTAGAGCTTCCTATTGGATAACTGATCTTGCTTGTACTAAGTTGAAGCTGAGGTCAGTGTTGCATGACACAGAGGATGTTGCTCCGTGACACTGTTCTCAAGAGTAGCAGTTTTTCTTTGGAAATAGGACCGTTAAGGTAGGCGGTAGATGAATTTTGGTGTCTGGTTCTACAGAAAGGCAATTCAGGAGTCAAGTTTGTAATTTAAAATACCAGTGATGAAAGGCAAGATTCAAGATTAACTTTCAAAATGTTTTTTCCCAACTCTGAAATGAAGCAGTCTGTTAACTGATCTGTTTAAGTGATTGTAGGTCTGCTTCCAAGAATGCTTTATGCCAAGGGAGTAAATGGCCGTGATTTGCAAGGGCCAGTTGATGCTCAGAAGGTGTGACTGGGAGGAGACACCCATTCAGTTAATTCCAGATTGGCTTTTCGTCATCCCGTCCTGGTCACCTGCTTTACACAGACTTCAGCTGGGGTAGATAAACAAGTGGGCAGGATTTTGTTGCTAATCTACTATATGAAATTAGGGCTGTCATCTCCTCTGAAAGTTTGTATAAGAGGAAATTGTAGGAAAAATAACAGAAATATGTAGGAAGAGGAATAACCAGTTTTATAGCTGGGGAAGAAAAGAAAACTCAATGCTATTTTACCTTTGTAAAGTATTAATAGTAGACACCTATCACCTTTTTCACATTAAATTACATCAATAGTAGTAATACCTTGGCACCCTCACACAGCACTGCATCAGCAAATTTGAAATGTTTTACTAAGGAGGTGTCTTTGTCCCCATGTAGCTGTGGAAGTAGATAAATGAATTGGCTATGGTTACACAGAAGCTTGGCAGAGTTAGGGAGAGAATCTGTGTTTCATGACTTCAGCTGCTTTTCCCTTTTCAATAGCATGGCATAAACTATTACGGACTTACACACCTATAACGTGTCACTGCTTCATAGCTGCCAATTCCCCTGGACAAGAGAAATGCGCACCTTTGTAGTAAATGCTGCCAGTCTTGTATTCTTTCAGAGAAAACCTACAAAGAATATACTTCAATTTTCTACAGTCATAGTTTACGATACTGGTTTGCATAAAAAGAGTAACACAATTTGAATAGCTAGTCTTGCCAGATTATGCTGCAAGAGATCCTCTAGCGTGTTTTTGTCACTGAATATATTCCAGTTTTACAAATGGTAAATTTTAGAGATAAATTGGATGATAAATTAGATACATGCATTTCATATTAATATGAAATATGACTGTATCTTCTGTAGCTTATTGTACTGTAATCTGTGTTTTTCCTCAAATTATATTCAATTTCCCCTGGACTTCTCTATAAGTACTTGAAGAGAGGGATGCAGTAAGAATTCATCATATAAATACTTCCCGGGCTCACTTCTTTTGGGAATAAATACTGATAAGTACAAATTTCAGATATAGTGAAAATATAGACTTATACCTTTTGCAAACAGAATATTTAATATATGAAGCATCTCACTGTAGCATATTGTCTCATTGTGCCTATTTTGATTTCAGGAATCAAAGTAACAGTTAAGCTGTTCCTGTTTTTATAAAGGCTGTGTCCTAACTTGCTATACGTTTAATGGAGAAAGGGGTCAGTAATATCAGCGAGATACAGTTCACTTGGTATCTTTAGGGCAGTAGCAGTGGTGATATCCCAGAAAACACAAGGACCTGGGAAAATACGCATGCTACAAAAGCACTTTATATCATGTGTAGTACTGGCTCGAGGTCAGAGAGGCTTTCTGTCACCAGCTCAGCACAAGCTTGATGGAGGCAATTTGATTTTAAAGAGGGAGCTGAGTAGGTACCAGTCTTCATTTTCTACCAGTGTAGGAGGCTACTGCTATTCTGGCCTCCAGCTAGTTTTTGAAGCAGCACTCAGTGAGTGTTGAAGATGTCTACACCTGAGCTAGCTCTGTAGACTCAGCTCCAGAGTATCAGCCACCCCAGACGGTCTACCTGCTTAAACAGTAATTTAAGGTGTAAAGGGCTTCTTTCCTCCCAGATTTTACATTATCTGAGTGGCAAACTGGAGCAGTTGATCTGGCAGGGCTGGTGTGCGAGAGCCTCGGGGAGGGAGATGGTGTGAAGGGACAAGGAGGAGCCCTGTTGTTCATGGGTGGAGGGAGGGATAGCACATGAATTTGCCTGGGACAAATCTAGGCTTTCGAAAACAAGGGAATCCTTGAACACAGGAGAAAATGTTTGAAGAGGGTATGGTTTTGTGCTGCTTGATATATAAACCTCTCCAAACAAGGGATGCTGGCATAGAGGCAGAGTACTGAAAACTGTGAAACAAAAATGTTGCTTCCAGTGCAGCAGTGAAACAGAAGACAAGCAGGATTCTGAGAGAAAAATAAAAAGGAAGTACATAGAAAAATAAATAAAGGGTTATGTAGCTGGCCACTATTACTCTGCAAGTCTATGGACATACAAACTGGTTTTACATGCCCAGAAAATCTTTCATAGCATTTTTTTCTGTTCTATTTAACTGCTCGTTCATCATTGAATCCAAGAGAGCAATTCCCTTTTTATAACATGGCAACTTCTGATGGAGGTCTAGATACTCAGTAGTCTCTGTACATACCCCCTTATCCTGTATTCAGATATGCACGGGGTGAGCAGTGCTTATGTTGACCTTCACTGGCATATATATGGCTAAATATAGTTTTACACAATGAACTTCAACGCAGAGATCATATGTCTTAAGTTATACTGTGGCAATGCATACAGTAAAAATACCTGCATGCAGATCTGAAGAAGAGGGCTTTGTTTAACCTAACCTGGCCATTGCTGTATTTCTAAGTAATTGTTGTGGTCTAAAGAAAGTTTCGCTTACCATTTGTGGGAAACACATTTCAAACTCTACCTGGAAGTGGTTTCTGTACATCCAGGGCAAATTTGGTGTGTCTGCTGTTGTTTTTTGTTTGTTTGTGGTTTGTTTGGTTTTTTTTTTTTTTTTTAATTAGAAATAATTGGTGAAAGTAAGCATAGATTTATCACATTTATCTTGGAAATAGTCTCAAAAGAATGGATCTTCTGTATGATCATTACATTGAGCTGACAGTTATATGACTTTATCCACTGGGATGCTAAATACATGCATACTTAAAGGAGAGGAGTGAAGTGTGGAAAACACGGTAACTGTGGGAGAACAGGCATTACTTTGCAGTACTTAACAATCTGTCAGGATGAACACGCTGTTAACTCTTAACTATCAATTTCCATCCTAGGTCCTCATCTGGCTTTCACTGAAATAGTCTGAATTAGGAGAGTTTGTTGCCTCATTTGGTGACATTTGTCACCTCAGACATGTTACCAACACAAATCCCAGACTTTGGCCTAATGCTGATTATTTTTTTTTTTCCCTTCTGCTTCATAAAATAATCTATTTCAAAATAGTGGCCATGATATATTTGAAAGAGGATTAGTAGAGGAGTGTTGTTCCTGGTAATTCTGTCTTCACAGAACACAGTGACATCTTGTGGCAAGTGAGGGGATGGTGTCATTTTTTCCAAGATGCATCCTAATTTCGGCTGGTTTACAGGTGAAAGTCTAAATAAATTCTGAACAACTGCTAATGCATTACTTTTCCTCCTCAGTATGAACTCTTGCCGAATTTTATTTTAAGTGCAGGTTTAAGAACTTCTCAGTAGTGAAAAAAGACCAGGCCTTGGTTTCTACCATATTGCAAATGTAGGGTATTGGAGTATATCACTTCAGCTTGCCAACATTCATTGGAAAACTTTCAACTCCAGGAATGTTCTTGTCCCAGTCTTGCTGACAAAAGACTCAGAGTCAGCATTTCAAATGCTCTAACGTTTGCGTGTTATCACAGATGGCCAAAATTGTAAGGTTGCTTTTGATGGGAACGAAAAGAAAACACAATAACTTTTTATCATAAGGCAGAGACTTCTTTTTTTCTATACTCTTTTTTTCTTTCCTTTTTTTTTTTTTTTTAACCTGAAAGTATTTTTTTTTTTCTCTTTACAGACAAAGCAGGATTTAAACCCTGTTACTGGTGTTTTGGGACCATCCCCTGACATGGCTCTCTTCTGCAAGTTGATACTTGGATAAGATTCTGGTTGTCAACATGAAAGGAAAAACTGTACAATGTGATTGGAAATCTGCACTCCAAAAGAAGCCCTCTCCCTGTGATCGATATAAACACACTTGCATTATTTGCAGAGGATTTGTTTATCTCTATGGAGGGAGAAACTGCACCAGTCTTAAGGATTTCTGGCGATACAACATAGGTAAGTTTGCCCCTTCACTTATGTCAGGATTAAAGAGATTTTACATCCACCCATCATGAAATTGGGGATACTCCGTAGTTAACAGATTGCCCCCATTTAAAGTTGCTCCATCAAAATGATGGATAAACTGCATTTTGTTCATTGGGCTAGAGGTGTGTATTTGTTGCTGTTGCAGTTGTCCCAGAAAGTTTAGATTTCAGTTCAGTTCCGTTTTATTTGTTTGTTTGTTTGTTTGTTTGTTTTCCCTTGAAATAGTGAATGATTTAAAATATCCTAGTTCTGCCAAGGGTTATCAAAGACACAGCTTTCTTGACTCTTTAACATGGGATTATCTTATGCATGTAAAAGTGAACAAAGAGAACACATGAATACAATACCTTGTAGGATTGCATTAATAATGCACTATTAGATATGACTGTGTATTCTTTGACTTAATTGTATGGTGTTCCCTGATCCATTGTTGTCACTGGAATAAAGCAGATTTGTGCTGGGGTTCATGCTCATGGAATAGTTGTGTTTGATGTAGGTAACAGTACAGCATTAAAATAAAAGCTGTAATGATTAATTTCAACTACATTGAAGTTTGCTAAATAGAAATATGCACACATTTAATTTTGGGGGAAGTGCGTCAGTCTTCTGAACTAACACAGAGGGAAGATGACAAAACACTTCATTTTCCCCCATCAATGACTGGCGGTGCAGCTAAATTCAAAGCTGATCTTTTCACCTTTTCCCTAACATTTGTGAGTCGAGCCCATTGCTGTCTTAACTTCTACTTTGTTATGTAGTGAGAAATGAATGGGAAATGCTGGATTGCTCAAGAAACGGTCCAGGAGAACTGGAAGAACATTCAATGGTGGCTTATAAGGTAAAGGACCAAGATTTATATTGTCTATATCCGGACATTTTATTTCCTATAATACAATGAAATGAAATGCCGTAGGTTGTACTGAATACATAGATGTACTGAAATACTATACCCAGAAAACACTTTTATGTCAGTGGAATTCTGGATGTAGCAGTACTGATGCCCTGGAATCTTTCTGAATAAAGTGACAGTAGTTTAGCTTTGCAGCAGTGTGCAGCTCTGATTTCCTCAGTCAATGCTCAGTACATAATAGTAATACAAAATAAAGACCTTGGCAGCACATTCTTTGACTTAGTTGTATAGTTGTAACAGTTGCTCTGAATTCATTTGCATGATAAGCTACAGCATAAAAACATTCACTTAAGAACTTGCATAGAAGAGGGACGGGGGAGTGAAGGCAAATAAGAATTACAGCTTTGCCTGTAAGGGGAAAACAGGATTTAGGCTATCGGGAGCTGCACTGCAATGAAATATTTCTATAAACATGTATATTCTAATATTACCTGAGCAATGCCTCTCAGAGCTCCAGATCTGCATTCCTCGAGCTGTCCCAATTTGACAAGGAAGTGAGTGGTTCTGGAATGCTGTCTCCGTTAAAATAGCAGGACGTTCATTGGGGTTTCTACTGGGAGAGGATAAAGACATGATTAGAAGTTGGTGGCTTTTTGTGATTGCCTCTTGAATAGTTAGTAGATCATTGTATGCATTATTGTTAATTATATTTTGGTGATGGCAGCCATTTCATTTAAGAATTGTCTTACAAATCATTTTATGCTATATACCTACCTGTAAGTGACAAATATTTTTGCGTCTTGCAGGGAACCCTGTATATTTTTGGTGGGATGGTGGATTCAGCTTTCACACAAGCAAAAACTCCTCTCTGGATATATGACATTGGTACGATACACAATAGCCAGTCTTTTCCATGGGACACTTGAAGTCCATAGGTACTAATAAATAGTAAGAACCAAACTGGTTTTTGCTGCTTATAACATAGCCTTCCTTAGGCTTTACAAGAAGCAATGTATGCAAAACTGTGTGCATATTTTCCCCTTAAAATTAGGCGGTTAAGATCTCAAAGAGTCAGCTCTTACTTTAATTAGAAGGTATTTTATAGGAAAGTTTTATGTATTTTAAGGTCTCAGAATTTCCATTCTTCCCTCCTACCCTGAAATTTACTATTTGATCATAAACCACAATAATTATTACATACAATATTCAAAGTTTTTCCTTATGTTACACAAATTTTTAAAATCAAGCTCTTTATTTTATTATGAAAGAAAATAGATCAGTAAAGTATATCTCATTTTGTATTTTTACTGAAGAAATATATAAACTGGCAACAGCAATGATGGAACAGAAAAACCAAATATAATTAAATTAGAAGGTGAGAAATAAACATCAGCATTTCATAACGCAGGGTTTTTTTTGTAAGAACAAATATTTGGGATCTCTTAAGTGTGCGTTCTAATAAAAGCAGTGCAACATTAGAATTTAATAGCAATGTCATACACTATCTGTTCTCCATTTGGAGACACTGTGTATAATGGCTGTCTATTTTGATGTCAGGTGGAGGAGAGAGAGACTGAGATTAAATTCTTTTTGAGCTAGTAAATCTCGTGGCAAGACATAACATTTAAGTTTCCTGGCTTCTTTTATTACGTCTCTATATAACCTTAAGTCAATGTGGTTTTTTTATTCCTTTCTTTGTTTGCCATCATTTGTCTGAAATACTTGCTGAAACAACAGAGATCCTCAGATAGGATATGTTTCTTGGGAGGAAGCATCTTATTACTCACAGTAGTTATCAGAGAAACTGGGAATGAGTTATTAAAAATTTGTCGTGTCTAGTTTTTTCATGGTCATTTAAAATCTTTCCTGGCAAGTATAGCTTTTAGTAATGTAAGCTTGAACTGCTTTCTCATTCTACCTCTGGTGCTGGGTATGTGATATTTCCTCTCCTTCATGGTGATCATAGTGATTTCTGACTGTTATTTGCGGACTACTTGTAAAGGATCTGTGAAAAGGAACAAGAAAAATAAGGCTGTTGTCATAAGGTTTACATAATAAGTAGAAGGAGCCATACATCCATCAGTAAATCTGGGGATTCTGCAAGTTCAGAAAGTGCTGAAAATCACAGATTATTTCTGCACTGTGAAATTTAGCCTTAGGAAACAGGAAATACAGTATGGTATCTCCGTGATTCAGTATCAGTTAAGGATAGAGGAAAACTATTTAAATTATGTCTCCTGTAAGTCTCTTGGTACTGCTGTCTTAGTGGGAAGCAGATTTCTTCATCCTTGTCAGTGGAAACACCAGGATGAGACTTACTCGAAAATTAGATCTGCAATTTGAAAAATTAATGTTGGAGGAGTGTCCTCTTGTGGTCTGGGATATAAACTGCGCTTTATTAAAACAATCCCCTAGATTCTGCAAGATGGACAGAGTGCCGTAACGTACCAGCAGAGACTGAGGTAAGGAGCCAGGAAGTGGTGAATGTGTGAATCAAATGCCTGTTGCTTTGTTGATTAAACAGATTGCTTTGAAATATGTTCCCCCAAACAGTTCCAATCTCATCTCTTCAGAGACATGTGGCTATACTTTATTTCTTTGCACTTTCAATAACTAAGACTTCTTCCTTCTTTAAAACAGAGTTTAAAAATACTGCTCTTAAATTTTAAGTGCTATATAAGAAGTCCTCTACTACTGCTTCTGTTTTTCTGAAATGCTTATCAAGAAAACTAATTTTAAATGGAATATTGCAACTATACATGAAGCCTGTGCTTTTAGAAGTAGGGTTGTAAAAACAGATTGGCAGTCACACTAATAAATTCTGAAACGTGAAGCGCCGCAGCATTTTTCATTTCTTCAATCTGAACACGTGGACTCACCAAGTTACTGCCACTTCTAAATGAAACCTCAGTGGAAGCATTTATGTCTTGGTCTTATGAGATTGGTTTCATATCATTACATATAAAGAATGACTCATTTTTTGCTATTGAAACTTCTTCCTCACAATGTTACTATACTATGAAATCGCACAAAAAATTTGTTGAGATGTGACACAGTCACATGCGTTTAGTGGAGGAGTCAAGAGTGAGTTTGGGACTGCAGGGCTGTTTGTGGGGAAAAAAAGGTGTTAGATTGTTGATGACATTTTGTTTACATATAACAAATATGATGGAATTATGTATCAACTCCTTCTTACATACAGGAGTAATGGTTGCTTGTAATTATCCTAAACTGAATATAGAGAACATGGCTCCCCTCCCAGCCCCCCTACCCACCCCCCAAAAATATAAAAATGGGCTGTTTGAGAAGAACCAACCAAAGAAGAACAAAAGAACAAAACCAAACTCTTGCCTTATATTTTGTTTCGGGTTTAGCTGGGCCTCCCCAGGTTTGCATCCAGGAGTCTCAGCGGTGCTGAGAAGCGCTGCGGGCGCAGTGGGAGCCACCTGGCTTCCCCCGGGGGTCTGGGGCTTGGGGTGGGGCAAATCCACAGCGAGCAAAGGCAGTGGGAGTTACTCCTGGGACTAAAGTTTCCTCAGTGTGGAAAGGCTGTGCTTGATGGCGAAAGGGCTGCACCCCCCCATCATATTGCCAAGAGTTGCCCGATGGATTTACATGTCCTGAAACTATGCCTAGCAGCAGCTGTGAAAGCAGTGCTGTGAAGGTGGGTGCAGGGAGGGGGAGGCTGTAGGCACATGATACCGAGGTGGACTTAAAAAGGGAGGCTTGCTTAGGTTTGAGAATGGTTTGTATTTGCATCCATACAAGTCTTCAGTGGTGGGTTTCATCTGTATTTTCAAAGAAGTTTAACACGCCCCAAAGCTGCAGTTTTCATCGCCCTGTTGTATTCCCAAGACAGACATTGCTACTGATAGGACTTGATCTGTTAACAGTTTTTTGTCTTATTAAATTGTTTTAGAGCTCAGCACCAACTAACAGAAAAGGTCACAGTGCAGTAGTGTACCATTCCAGCATGTACATCTATGGGGGATACTTTGGCATCAGAGGCATTTCACAGGAGTTTTGGACTTTCCATTTTGGTAAGTTAAAAAGCGTGATAAGGTTTTGATCCAATGTAAAACAATGGCTGCTGCAGGAGAGCATGGCTTACTCTGTTAAGAAAATTCTTATCAGTAGAAATGTTCTAAGTTAGTTTTGGCTTCTGTGTGACAGCATTTAATTATGAATCTGTCAAATTAATACTCGGCTGAAATGAATTAGACTGTATTATACTGGAAGAAGTTTTGCTGTATTTGCCAGTTTTTGCGCTGAAAATTGGAGAGAATGTTTTGTTCGCTATTCACTAAATTCTTCAAGGATTACCAACAACTTTCAGATTCAGCAGAGCCCCTGTCTTGAGCCTATTAATGCCATCTTTTGAATCTCAAATCTAGAACTGACCATGGGGAACCAAACCTGACAGGAGATGGTTTCATTAGCATATTCATCACTAATCTGGTGGTAGCAAACCAGATGATTCCCAGAGACTCCCTAAATGGATAGCTTTTGTTATCTGGTGGCCATTCAGTCACTATTTTGAAATGAATGATGGGTTTATCTCATCCTTCATTCCCTCACAGGGAGAATAAGCACAGACATTAATGAAGGAATGTTTTTGTTGACTGATTTTTCCCTCTTACAGCCAGGAAATTATCTTTCCGTGTCAGAGTTAATGAATTAACAAAGCTGGAGGAAAAACTGCTCTGTAAATAAAATTTCCATGGCATCTGTCATACAGCATCTGACATTTTCATTAAAAGTTTATTTCAAAACTGATTTTTTAAATGCACTTTTTCAGTGTCAAGATTCAAGCTTCTAACTTTTATAATGAACTTAGAGCAGAAGCCCTGATTCTCCAACAGAATAGTTACTTTGTTCTTGAAATAAATCCCTTCTCAAATACTAGGGTAAATTTAGTACATCTGTAAATTGGTATTTTGCTTTCAGATACAAGGAAGTGGCAGTGTGTTCCCACCCCACCTCACAACACTGGCCCAGGGCCTCGGCACGGCCATTCAGCCGTTGTTTATCGTACGGGCATGTACCTCTTCGGAGGACTGATGGGGCTGAGTGAACAGAAGGACTTGTGGAAGTGGGACTTCGTAAGCAGCAGCTGGGCCAACATCAGAACAAGGTAAACAATACTGTTTGTTACACTAAACACAGAAAGAGAGAATTAAGCTTACCATTTGATACTGCGTGCAGGCAGAGAGGGAGATGTTGCCCTTTTGGTGATTGTAGGAACCGTTCAGATCAAGACAGAGTGCTGCTTCCATCCCTGGGTGCTTGTTGGCTTTGCTTGGAAGAGCTCTTGGCACTGCGTCGACTCAGCCATCAGCAGTGTAATTTTGGTGTAGCTGTTTAGCAATCATTCTCTTGGGTCAAAAGGAAAGTAGAGGCTCAACTCAGTGTCAGTTTCTTGTTGGTCTCCCCTTAACTGCTGGTTTCTCTTACATTCAGCCAAGGACCTCCTCCAGTGGTAGGTCATGCTTCAGTAGTCTTCAAAGACTCTATGCTGATTTTTGGTGGAGGGATTTCAAATTCCAGTCCTCATGATGACCTCTGGAAGTATCAGTTCCATACGCAGATGTGGAAGAAGCTTAGTTTGCCTACAAAGGCAAACTTCTCTCCTAAAATGTATCACTGCATCTTAGGAATCGGTGTTGACTTCCAAACTACCTCAGATTTCACTAATACGTTCCCCAGCCATCGGAAGGGTAAGCAGAATGATCCCCAGCAGCTGGTGCCCGTGCCGAAGCACACGCGCTTTTGCAACTACTTCCGTCAGCAGCCGGCGTACCGAGCCTTCAGCAACGAGGAAAGTGACGCGATTGAAATGAAAACCTTCAGCTCGCCTCTGGAGCCACGGGGCTTCTGTGCGTTTCAAACCACTTCAGAGGCAGAACTAGACCCAAACGGAGCAGCAAGCCTTCTCTCAAAGGACAAGTCTCTCCCTCTGTTTGTCTCTTCAGAAGAAGAGACTTTTGCTGCTGCTCAGATTGTGGGAGAAGAGGAGGAAACCGACTGCCAGCATGCGACCGCAGTGGATGAGGTTAGCAGGGATACCAACGTGCTGCTGCTCATTGGGGGTAAACCTTTGTCCAGCTTCTCTGAGATCTCATTCTGGCAAATGGAGTTTGAGAGATTGTGATCGCTTTGATGGCAAAGCGAAAGAATAAATTTCCACCAGTGTGCCAGTAGGTGGTAAACCAACTGCTTGCAACTCTCTTCAATTTCCTATCAGCACACTGGGGAGGAAGGAAAAATTAAACCACCTCACTCATACTTGCTGCGAACAGATTTTTTGCAATGTGAACAAAACCTGACATATATTTAAGTCACAACTTGCATGTAAATTGCAATTTCTGAGAGGAGTTTGTTAGAATGTTGCTCTTTTTGTTACTTTTCTTCTGGTCAGTTAATATCCTTTCAAATTGCAGTGGCTGATGCTGCCTTGAAAGTCAGAATGACAGGTAATCTCTGCTGGCTCCGTAACTGCCATTTCAGCTGCAAAGCTTGTTCATTTTGCACCGGGATTAAAAGTAAAAATGCACCCATGAAGCTATCCGAATCAAGTTTGCACACGCTGCAGTCACATTTGAGGAATCTGCTGAATCTTAATGGTAACATTTTCTAAGATTTTTAAGATTTTGTTTTCTTGAAAGAGTGCTCTTTCCCCAATATATTTGCAACATGAGATGGCCTATAACAAAGAATAAACCCAACAGGCAAACTAGCAAGGGAAATCTAGAAGATATTCTAGGACTGCATCTAACCCTGAGGAAGTGAAACCACGAGTCCCCCTGACACTGATCTGCAGCATTAGACCAGAGGAAGTGTGTTACACCTGGAAGAACAAACTAGTTTCCCAGTAAATGTTAGGTTTAATGACCGAGCACAGGATCAAAAGCATTTGACTTTCTATTGGGGGTGGAAAAAAAAAAAAAAAAAAGGAAGGCTTGACAGGATTAGCATGAAACCTAAATTGTTCTGACTGGTAACTCAGATTTTGGCCACAAAGGGGATTTCTGCTTTTCCAACTCCATCTCTAGTTTGTCAACATACATAGTATTTGTTACACATTTCCCCTTACACTAGTAAATCCTGAGTTCATGTATGGTTTGTTTTCCTTTGTTGAAAAGAAAATGTGCTTTTTTAGACAGATAATACTGTCCAGTGTTTCAAGCATTTATTTCCACCGAAGTTAATAAGACACTGTCCTTCTGACTGAACTTCAGCTGTCTGTACAAAGAGATGCTAAAGTTTGGAATTACTAGAAAGTGTAATTTAATACTTCTGAATATTTGAAAAGATCATTCAGAAGTTTCATAGGAATAATGAATTGTAGCTGAGAGTATTTACAGATGCTTTCATCATTTCTTTACAAGTAGCTGTCACATGAATTCAAGGGGAAAATTATAGAGGAGTTCGCAAAAAGCTACTTGAGAGTTATTTGGATCTTCTGTGACCTTTGGAAACAGAGGATTGTATGCTGCCATACAAATAAAGCCTGCTGCATTTCGTATCAACGTAAGCTTGTTTTCTCAGCTTTCGTGAATTTAAAATACGTATTTATATTTTCAAACTGCACAAAGAACTTGCCTTTCTGGACAAGAAACACGTTCCTGCAAGGCCCAGTCACCTCATGGCAGTTCAGGCAGCCTCAAGGGCTGCCCAGGCCTCGAATTTCTCCTCCGAGAACAGGGGATTACCCAGTTTGAGGAGGTATGCTCAGAAAGGACTTCAGCACAGCGACCGAGCTGAGCACATACAGAGCACTGCAACCTTAACTCGGCAGTATGTTTTCCTTTTGCTGGCTGACATGTCTGTTTTGGCACTACCCAGAGAGCTGCCATACCACTTTTATCTAGGATTGACGAGGGAAGGAAATTTAACTGGAAAGGGCATCAATAAACCAGTGATTTTCCAAGTCACGCGGAGGCTTCCTGGCAGGTACAGGTATCCTGGGGATGTGCGAGAGCCCCAGGAAAATGCCACCCAGCAGCCTCTGCCCTTCTTTTCTTCCTCCTCCCCAAACTCTCTTCCCTTTGGCAGCCCCACGAAGGGTTTAGCATTTACTTGGAGCCAACGCAGGCAGGACACGAGCCAGCCCCAAGCCGACGGCTTGGCACGGGGAGGGAAAAGCAGCTTGCGGAACGTGCCCCTCTCCCCTGCCTCCTCCCCGCGGCTGCGCCGGCTGCCAAGCCCGGAGGCTGCACCAGCGCCTGGGCCGCAGCGCCCGCTTCTGCCCCCGAGCCGGCCCCAGGCGGCCCGTGGCGGGGGCCCCGCGGGGCCTGGCCCCACACGGGGCGCGGGCAGCGCCTCACAGGGCGGGCTGGCGGGAGGCAGCGCCTCAGGGCGGGAGGCAGCGCCTCAGGGCGGGCTGGAGGGAGGCAGCGCCTCAGGGCGGGAGGCAGCGCCTCAGGGCGGGAGGCAGCGCCTCAGGGCGGGCTGGCGGGAGGCAGCGCCTCAGGGCGGGCTGGCGGGAGGCAGCGCCTCAGGGCGGGCTGGAGGGAGGCAGCGCCTCAGGGCGGGAGGCAGCGCCTCAGGGCGGGCTGGAGGGAGGCAGCGCCTCAGGGCGGGAGGCAGCGCCTCAGGGCGGGCTGGCGGGAGGCAGCGCCTCAGGGCGGGAGGCAGCGCCTCAGGGCGGGCTGGCGGGAGGGAGGCTGAGCCGCAGCCACCCCCCCGGGAACGCTGTGGAAGGGGGAAGAGCTCCGAGCCCGAAAGCGGGGCCCTGCGCTAGGGCCGGCGCGCGCTGAAGCCACCGGAGGCCAACTCTCCCCTTGCGGGCCCATTCCCGGGTCTTTAAAAGCCCAGGGCGAGCTCCTGCTGGAAGGGAAGGGGGCTGAGGTGTAAAGTGACACAGGAGCGCCCGGCCCCTTCTGGGCACGCACGCCCGGGATTTTCAGGTTCCCTCCCCAGCGGTGGAACGCAGGACCGAGGCTCGCAGCCCGTGCCGGTTCCGCTGCCCCGGTCACCTTCCCTTTCAAAACCCAACCAGTCCCCTCGGCTGCACCTCGCAGGGTTCACAGAGCACCTCAAGTGGTTTCACTCCTGTTTTCCTGGCACCTTTTTGTCCAACGCAGTCACCTTTTCACAAAGGAGGAGAAGAGCCTTCGCGGATGTGCTTACGATATTCCTCCGTACATGTAGCAGTTAATGAGAATTCATCCCAGGCCCAAGTGAGTGACTAAAAGCTGCTGCCATCTGAAAGCTCGGTGGTGGCCTGCATGAAATGATGAATGGAATTACTCCAGCTCATGGCAACTATTTAGAAGCAAAACAAACCACACCGGTTTTGGCTGGGCATGGGCTGAAGGGGCTGCCACCGAAGCGCGCTGTTTTAAAACGTCTCTGAAAAAAGGGGAAGCCTGCATGTATTTGAAATGCCCACAGTCTAATTCAGCCCACAGAATAAAAGCAAACGTGGGCAGCGTTCTTTGGTACCTCATCCGAGATGCACTGCTGTATCATAAATTACATAGACAAGAGACCAAATCCATCAGCCTTAACTGCCTCAACAAACTCATTGTCTTTAATTACCATTTGGTCTCTGGACATTAAAATGCGTGAATGGCAGAAGGCTTTTCTTTTAAAATGTTGACATTTAAAGAGGTTTGTTTTTTTTTTTTTTTTAAATAATAAACCTAAACATGTTTCATTGTTTGAATTGTTCTTCAAATCTACTTACAATTCAGTGACTGAGCAGTGGGATCGTAGTTTGACCTACGCAACAAATTGTGCCACAAGGGAAATTACTTTCTATGAGCTTAGTCATTAGGATGGAATTATTTCTCTTCCTTTTGACACTTTCCAAAGTTTATTAATTGTTGATAAATTAAGATGATCAAATGGTTTGCTGCCTTCTTAAGCATTTCACCGAAGTCATGGTTTGGAAACTAGGAGTTTCCTTTAAACAACCATTAGCAGCACGGCACTTCAAAACATCAAACAATCTCCTACTGGAAATAAAAGCAAGGTTGCTCAGTTACCTGGCATACGCTTTCATCTGCACCTTGTGAATTTGCACTTGGAAGTTCAAGCTTCCTTCCTGGGCACACACCTCAGTGCTTTGATTTGCAAAACCACCGGACACCCGACAGTCCTCCTGGACAATCTCAGCTCTTTTGGAAAGGCAGCATTTCATTCGTTAGCATCTGTCTGCCTGCTTAGATGCCATCTTAAGTTATGCTTTAATTGACAACAATTTAAGTTGATATCACGGCCTGCAGTTTCGATGGCCAAAGTAAATCCAGAGCCCCCGGAGCGCTCGGCGCGGCCCTCGCCCCCCGCATGACACAGCGGTGCCGACAGATGAGACTGTGAGACTTGTGCACTGACGTGGTGTATTTAAGACAAAACTACAGTATAAACATTTCAAGACTGGGTTGAGTGGACTACAGATCACAGCTTCTTGTTCCCACGTACAGCTTCAACACAGATCTCAGTGCAGTGCCCAGAACAGTTCATACATCGCTACTGTTGTGAAACAGAAGAGGGTGCACTTTGTTTTATAAAAAAACAACAAATAAATTATACTTTGAGAGCTATTGCCAAGCTTTACATATAAAAGGTAAAAATACAGTAGTTAGTGTGGCTTTAACAAAAAAACATTTTCTAGCTAAAAAAATATTCTTACATATTTTGAAACTAAGTTTGTCCAGTTAGAGGTGGGGGGTGGTGTGTGTTTTCGAAGCAGAGCGCTCAGGCCAGGCAGCGGGAGGGAGGGGCGTTTGGCAGCGGCAGGGCCCCATGTTGCCCCCGGGCCGTGCCCCCCCCCCCCCCCGTGCAGCCGGGGCGCGGAACCCCCCGATGCTGTGGGCAGACCCACGGGGGGCTGCCCCCGGGGGCTGCGGCAGGCCCTGCGCCCACACGGAACCCCCACAGGTCACACCTGCATCGCCCAACCGCCACCAGCGTGGGTCACTTGTATTTTTTGGTATAAAAATTAGGATTGTCCAGCTGCACGTGGAAGCCGTGACGTCACCGTGTCTAACAGCTATATATACACACAACAACTCTCTAGACTCACAAACACTCTACGTGCCCAGCTAAAGCTTTAAATGCCAGCTGGCTGCAAAAGAGAGCTGCTAGCACTTAATCTGCAGAAGATTTGGGCTGTACCAGAGTATGTTCACAACGTGAAAAACAGACCCCGTGCTGTTAGCGAAGGACGTGCTGATCTTAACCATACATCTGTGCTCCAGGAAACGAGAATGAGCAAGGTGCAGGCAAAGGGGTAACGGGCAAGGGCTGAAGACAGTTTGTGGAAAGAAACCCAAATGTAACCAGACTGTGCCTCTAGTGGTGCTGCAAATTTTCTTGCCAAAGTTGCGTCCAAAAAATTGTCCAAGACATGGCTTCTACACAGCTATCTTTGACAAAGTATACATGGAATTTAAGTCTAAAATTGAATACATCCAAGCTAATTCATTAACCGTGACTGATTAGCAGGTAAGCAGTTATTTTATGTCATATGACCTACCTAATACTATGAAACCCCATCACCACTGAACCAAACAAGAGATTCCTTTAGTTCAAGCGTAAGAGGGCCCGAACTCCCACACCTGAACGCCCATTTCCACAGCTCACAGGACCGTTGCCACGTACCTGGCACGCGCAGACGCTCCCGTCTCTTCCTGGTGGGTTAAATGGGCGACACCGACCGGCAGGTCCGAGACCGGCACCTCCCCACCACCAGCCAGCTGATATACGGGCTGGGGCTTTTTTGTTACTATCAATGTTAATATTTCTATAAAATCTTTTACTCCAATCGCTTTCAGAGTGGGACTGGAGTGAAATCAATTTTACTCTTAGATCCAGTCATTTCTGGGTTCAGTTTAAGTTGTCATTTTTAAATTATACATTTAAAAAAGCATCCAGCTCCGATCAGCATTGGATACGCACACAGCAAGAGTACAAGGCCAGGGAGGGAGGGCAGGCTGGGACATGCATTAGTAAGGCAATAAGGGATAACTTTGTTAGGAAAAAAAATTGAACTCTTTTTTTTTTTTTTTTTTTTTTTTAAAATCAGGGAGCTGGCTTTTTCCAAATGACTGCAACAGGACATGCATTTATTCATTCCTGTCAACCCTTACAGCTTCTTCTAATGGTTGGCAGACCTGCCAAAATCCCAACATCAGATTCACACAAAAGTTTTATTTATAAATCTCTAAGTAAATATCCAAAAATAAACTTTTAGAGGATGATTGGGCCTTATAGCCGACCAATCAACAGTATAGCAATGGTAAGAAAATACCTTTTTCTCAGTAGCTCACAGGCATTAAATAATACTTTATAACACAAACTGTAGGAACTATTATACCTACTTGTGTTTGATAAAATGCAGGCGATGAATAATGCCACGTTACCTGTTAGCCAGTCATGACACAACATGATGCCTGTAGTTTTCAAGCAAAACAGTGATGCCAAACTGCAGGATGCTCAGATACCCACCTATGTGTCTGTTCAGATCACAGAACTGTGGTGCCTTAGTCTCGCCAGGCTCCCTATAGAAACAGTGATTTGGATTGGCTAAACATGCTGCACTGAGTTATTTCAAGGAGTGAGTATTTGCTCCAAGTATCAGGTAACACTGGAAAGAGTTGGGTTTGCAGCCCCGAGTCCACTAGAAATTGCAAGTCCCCATTTAACAGTTGAAAATTTTGAATTTTTAAATAGTTTCAAGTATTAGTCCTCTGAAAATTGAGGAAAACCTTTCTCCTTTGAAATTTTTGTGTGTGCACATGTGTGTAAATACGACACGCCCCTCTGATCACCGCTGTCCCCACCATGCTGAAATAACAGTTGGCTACTTGGAACCATTTAGATTTTAGGGGGACACACTCACCACACATGTTATTTACGTGTTATTTGCTGTGTGTGATTGCTCGGGAGGAATCTAAGGATGGTATTCAACATGCAGTGCTGCAAAACTGTAAACTTCTGTTATTCTATTTTTGGGAGGGATTCAAGCTAACAGTTCACAGAGCTCCTGAACCCAACGGGAAGAGTCAAATATCAAACATGCCTTAAAGAAAACGCTACTGCATTCTGTCTATTTACAAACCCAACACATGTAGCTGGCGAATGCCAGCTCAGCTGCTGAGCAAACAGATCAACAGCAAGTGCCAAGTTTCCCCACACAGTCCTGGCTTTGTGCGGGAAGCAGACTGTTGCAGCCATAGCTTCCCTTTTCCTGCAGGAACTTTGCTGGCAACTGTGTTATTAATTCAGACTAAGACATTTGATATTTGAATTGAGAACCTTCTACATTTTAATATGCAGTAAGGCTCAAACTTAAAAGTGAAGGAAAAAAAAAGGCCAATACTCAACTGGAAGTAACAGTAACAGAGCTGAGCAGAAACAGCCCACCTGGTGCAGAAGAGCCTCTCCGCGCTGGCTGGCAGCCTGGAGTGGGGAGCCTGCCCACGGGGAGCTTTTGGTGTGGGCTGGAGGGGGACCTGAAGCACCTGCCACCAATTTTGGCTCCCGGTTCTTGAGGCAATGGCTGCAAATTGTTGTCTGCAGAGAGTCCTCTCTGGTACCTCAGTCCTAAGAGTTCCCCGTGGTTGCTGTTTCTCTACTAAGGCCTCGGGGGGGGGGGGGGGCGGGTAGGGTTTGAGGAGTGGCAGTGGGCCACGTAAATGCCACGTGGCTTCTTCCTCAGTGCTCTCAGTTCAGCATCTTGCAAACAAGAGCGCAAGAGCAGCAGTACGAGCGCCCTGGTCCAGAAGCAGCAGCCTAGCCGGGCACCGGCTCACCTGCACAGCCCACAGTGGTTTGGTCCAAATCTTTGTCTGCACTGAGACACGTGCACGCAGCCGGCGGGCAGGAAGGAAGTTGTGCGTGCAGGTTTCAGAACTAACTTTCACATTTAAAATTGTTTCTAAGAACCACATGTATATAAACAGCAGCACTACGCAGAAAACATCCTCCAACCCCAGTCCTAAGTCCAAACCTCTTCCTAAGAAAGATCCCAGTTGTTTCATCTGTGCCTCCCTGTCAGAAGATGGGGAGTTCATCATGGGGCTTCTGACTTCTCCTCCCTCTGACCCTGCACTGACCTTTCCCACAGGCTGCATCCCGGGGGTGCCCACGCTCACCTCCACACATGCACGTGGGCATTCTGCTGCCCGGGACTCAAATGATCTCCTCATACGGGATCCTGTACTTCTCCTGAGCACCAAAAGGAATTCACCAGCTCCGCGGAGCGTGCACTTGCAAGTGCTCCTACCTTCTTTCTACAAAGAAGCGAGCTGTTTACAGGAACTTTTCATCGTTCTTCCCTGTTTTCACCTTATTCTTTCTGTTCTTTGTTCCACATAGGTCTGTTAGATGACACTTGGAATAGGATTCAGGGTGGTGGTAAGAACTGATCTAGTTGTACCCTCATGCCGCTAACATAGCTGGGAAGTATTCCCAAAGCACAGCATCTGGAGACAACACCCAGAAATAGCACGAATAGAAACAAGAAAATTCTTTTCCTTCCTAGTTCTATATGACAACAAAACTGCAGTTCCTGAAGTAAGCTGTACTCATACCTCCACTGCTTCAGCATTTAAAACATACTTATCTCTAGCCTAAAATTCATCTATTTGAGCCATACAGAAAAGGAAATAATCATTGTCAAAATGTGGGACCTCTGCTGTAGTCTGCTAATGCTATAAGCTGTTTGGTAGGTTAATTTTCCTTTTCCTAGTTGCAACGAGCAGCTCAAGTCCAGTCAATGTAGTTGGTCACTGATGGACTAGATTTTCATTCTTTCCAGGTGCAAGGACTATTAAAGGGTTTAAGGCCAAAAAGGAGAGTATGTGTTGGAAAAACAAACGACAGAGGGAATAATCACACAGAAGAAAATGTCCTTGGCTGTATGAAAGTGTCGTCACCACTGTGAGCCAGCACACGTAGCACGGCCACAAGATGGCCCTACACGTTCTCCTGATCTTTCCAACATCCATCTACAGCGGTGAGGGACCTCGACCAGCTCACACCCGACACAGACACAGCCAACATCACCCGGAGAGCTGCCGTTGGCACTTGAGAGGCAGCCCAGGGTAAAGCAAGACTAACCTAGCGTGAGCAAAACACAACTAGATTCTGTTCCTCATGTCCAGAACTAGCTCCAGGGTGGCACGTCACTCCTCCTGACAGAGAAGATCAAACATGCGTGTGGTTTTATATCCTGGTTTAGACTGTAATTCCAGTTCGATTGCGATAAATGTAGAAGTCTCTTCCTGGATCCTAGCAAACCCGCTGGCTGTTTGACTCCCACTCAGCAAGAGTCTGATCCCAAGCAAGTCTTTTGGAAGGATCCCTTGGAGATATGTTAGAAGATTTGAGTTTTTACAGGGTGGGAAGTGCAGAAACTCGTTCTTCTAGAGTTCAGTGGTGAGTAAACACTTTGTTCTTAGTGTAGCATCCTCAGAAACTGGGCTAAAAGGGAAAAAAAAAAAATGAGGCCCTGTAAACACACTCCTCCAAAAAGATCTGCCATGATGGATCCAAAAGGGTAAAGATGAGTGTTGTTCCAAATAGCGTTAATAGCTGTTCCCCTCAATTTAATGAGACCAGCAGACAACCCCCAGAAGAGCAAACTGAACCAATGTCACACGGTGCAGCAGGAGCATCACTGCTATCTGCACTGGAACAGGTTCACTGAAACCTGCCACTGTTCTGCCTCACCAGGGCGGCAGAATGGAATAGCAAGGGGAAAAGTTTCTACAGTTTCTGTTCTCTGACTTCCTTACAGCTTGGAAATAACTGGGGGACAGTTCCCCTCACCCCCTTCCTCTGGCAGGTACAGAAACACCGTAGAGAGATTTCTCGGAAAATTCTTCTGTACCATAATTTTAGTCCAGTACTAAAACACGTTAGCAGACAAGGAAAGCAATGGAAGTGAAATGATAATTAAAAAGAATGAATCAACTTTATAGCACTTACAAGGACACGTTTACTTCCAACTCCAGCTAAACGTGTATCCTTTGTTCCTTGAATTTAAAAAAAAGGTTTTCTTATCCTTCAAACCATGTTATATAAAAATATACACACATCAGCTGATTTATTTATAAGATTTCAAATGCTAGAAAGTGAGGCAGAACTATAGTTTATAAACAGAGCAAAACAAGGTATTGTGTCTAAATGACCTCTGTGACTATTTAAGTGGAAGTACCAAGAGCACATACTTCCTTTTCCACCCCATCCAGACCTCTGAAGTGAGTGCTGAGGAGACCTTACCTTGCCAGGACTTCGGATGTCTGCTGGGATGGTGGCAATCCAGCTGATGACAACAGAGTCTCTGTGCTGCCTTTCACTGCCTTCATTGCTAAGGCAAGATCATCACCCAGAGGGCCATTGGAGATCAGTCCAGTCTGAATTGGGGAGAATGAAACAGGAAACTGAAATAAAAACCTGCCTGGACAACACAAGCTAATTTTTCAATATTTTTTTTTTTTTCCTATCAGTAAAAACTAGGACCAGTCAAGTTCCAGGATGGGCTTCACTAAATGCAAGTTCCTAAAGAAACTTTATGGCATTTACCCGCAATGTAATGCAGCAAAAATGAAATTGAAATATTAACAGGATATGTATGTTGTTTGATTTACTCCAGCTGAATTAGTTTGCTTTATTTTCGGTCTGGTATGTTATTTTATGGACTTCCAAATTATTACAAATTATTGTATTTTACTATTTTACTTGAGCTCCTGTTTCTTAAACATGACAAAAGCTTTCTTTTTTCTTTTTTGTTGATGTTAAGGAATGGTCAAATAACTCACTGGCACTATCCACCTCGGGGTTATCGTGGGCTGGGAAGACACCTACAGAAAACAAAAAGTGCTCATTAGAAGAGGTTGGAAGTAGCCGAGAACCTTCTCGAAACAACACTGCCCCCCCAGACTATCTCCGCTATTTGTCCATCGCTCGTCTTTGAACCACGCTAGTGCCTAGCCACAGGTGGTGTGACTTCACACCAAAAGGTGACTGCAGCCCCCTGCTCGCTCACGGGCTCTCCCTTCCAAAACACAACCGAACCCGTTATTTTTGTCTGCTTTGTGGACAAAGGTAACTGAGAGCACACTGCGGTGAACAGTTTAAAGGTTCCACTCCTTCCCCCTTTTTTTGGTGCACGCAATGTAACTCCTTTTTTGCCAGCACTGATTATAAAGGATTTCTTTATCTATATGAAAGGGTTGATTTTTATGAAAGGTTTATTTTTCAAGTATTTATTTTATATATATATATACACACATACATACATACACATATATATGTCTGTGTGTGTATATACATATTTACATAAAAGTTCTACAATATTAGCTATACCCAAAAGGCTGAGAAGCAGGCTGGCACTTGCAGGTACACTAAAGTAAGACTACAGGCACAGATACAAGTTAACGCTTCAAGTTCCTTCACTTCCACTACAAAGAGGTAGGGTCTAGAAGCCTACTCCAGCCACCCCTCAAGTAGGGAGGTGTGTACGCAGGGAGCCAGGTCAATCACCACTTCCCTCTGCTGCAGCAGACCCAGGCCTGGTGGACAGGTACTAAAGCCAGAGGAGAGTTCAGGAGTAAAAACCACTGTACACGTGAAGGAAAAAGTTTAGTTTTGAAATACATTTACCCGAGGTGTGGCTTCTGTAAAGTCAATTAGATTCTCTGTCAATGATGTTAAGGAAACGTCCTGGTCATCTGGAGTGCTCTATGGAATAAATCAGTTCTGAATTGAATTCCCAGTAGTAACCAGATAGGTCTGCTGAATACTCAGGTGACTTCCCAAGTTATAGCCCAGTGTCCTTAATGAACACCACTGCTTATCAGGTCTGTTTTCTCAAATCTTTCCATATGATCTTTTCCAATAGCCTTTTCGTTTCACTTTCATTTCAGCAGCCTTCTTTCATTCTCATCCATGGACTGGAAACAATGTCATTGCCAAATAAGCTGTGAAACTGTCCCATTCTCCTGTGTGAAGATGGGGTACTGTGCCGTTCAACAAGAAGGTCAGCGAGGTCTGTGAGCTAAGTATTTGAACTCAGAAGATGAAACTGGTAATTATTCAGTGGGATCCACTACACAATACTGGTTTAGAGGGACAGCAGCTGAAGGGCATGGTGCTTTAGTGATCCAGAATAACCCCTGTCTGCTGAACTAACAGCAGAGTCCAGTGTTGGACTTTTATTTTGGAGAAGGACAAAGGAAAGCTGACCCCTGAATTACTATGTGGACTTTATCAAGTCCAGTTAAAAATTACCTCATCCTCAAGGTGACTAGAATACAACAATTAAACAGGTCAATTTAAACTTCTCCCTCTGTGGTTCTTTTGATAGGAATTGCCTATGTTAGAGTTTCTTTCCTGCAGTCTCCTTCTTGGAGCATCAAATCACTAGGATATAAGGAGCTCCCCACCAGCCAGCCTGAGAAAAACGATTAGTTTAGAAAAATGTCAGGCAAAGAACCTGAAAGGACACTCAGAAATGGCCTTTGGAGAGATCCGTAGTGTCCCCGTCTGCTTCAGAAAGCACTCCTGGTGACTGGTATTCACTGAGTTATGACAGGTATGCAGCAAGGTCTGCTGTGCCTGCCTGGAGGCATCAGTAGCTCAGAACGTGACACAGAAACCTTCCGGGCTGGGAGGTGACGATACCTTTGAAACAGCAGCTTCCTCAGCTGGAGCCAGATTAGCTGGAATCAGCAAGTCCTCATGGTTAGAGGCAGCCTTGTCCTCATTTAACACACTACTGAAAGGAGAAAACATTCTCATCAGCACACTGCCTGGATGAGCTCTGCTTCCCTGGTCGTTCAACCCAAAAACTTAACACCAGTTCCATGTGAGGCAGACAAAAGACTGATGTTTGTGAGCATGTTGAAGTAAATGCCTCCCAACTACCTCCCCAGATTAGCGTTCTCTTTCGTATTTCCAGCTACAGCTGTGTATATACCCAGCAGTATCGGTGTCTTCTATCTCAAAGGAGCTTCTTCAGCCCTTGTTTTTAATTTGCCTGAAGCCTTCCCTGCCGTTCTCTTATCTTGCTCCTTAGAGCCAAGGGCAGCAGGGTGTCAGGTATTTCAGTCCCTTCAGATGAGGGAGATTCTCTTACTGCTTGCTAGGATACTCGCCCCCAGGCCTGGCCTACACTGATTAACTGTTGCAACAGTAATTAAAGGCTCACCCCTAAACCTGCTTAGTTAGATGTAGCCTAAATACTCGGCAACTGTTCCTCATCTTTTCAGACCTGCTCATGATAATCTCCACGTGGTTCCCTTACCCTAGAAACACGTTCCTCTGGAATCACTTACGGAACAAAAGCGTTTGAGGCAGGGATTGCTTTCAGCAGCTCTCTTGGGTCTTGAAATACTGGACTGGTTGCTGCAGGAGCGCTCTGTGTTTTGCCCGACGGGAGAATGTTCCTGGCACAAAACAACAAAACCCAAATAACCTTCCACGGAAAGCCCTTCACGAATCACTTGTTACAGCATATTTTTGAGATCGCTAGATGTAAATTTAATTCACTATCCCCATGTGCTCTTTGAGGTCTGACACATCCTCATCTTTACAATTGGTCAGGAAATTACATGTCTTAACCCTTTAACTTTTTCAATGCCTGAAATCCCACTGGAACTAGCAATCGTTTGAGATTTAGTAATTCTCAAGAAATCAACTGTCAGCGTCAGGTTTTTGTACACATTTTATTTTCTCCACTAGAAAACAGCTACTGTGAACAGACCTATCCCCCCCCCCGACGCTGAGGTTGCTCATGGGTCAGAAATAACTACAGTGATTGAAGCTGCTGTTGGAACAGTGTTTATCAAATGAAGGTATGGAAGAATAATGAGTATCTGGATTACCTTGTATATAATAAAACTTAGCAACTATACTTCTTGCTGGTTTTCATTTCACACTCACCAGGTTAAGCTACCCTATGCAACGTGAAACGCAATGCTCACTGAGCCACTGAAAGACCACACTGAACGGCAGGTTGTGTCGTTCTTGGGTAACTCAGTCACACCTTTCTTCCAAATCTATTCAGTACCTGGCAGCAGCATCATGAACGTTGGAATTCTTGACACCTGTCAGGCTGTCTTCTCTTACGACCTGAGAGGAAAAAAAGGAATGAAGATATACATTTCTGATACCTGTTTCCATCTTGTGTCTGTTCTGAAATTCACAGAAGAGGCAAGCACCTCCCTCCCAGCATGAAAGCGTGCTGTTCATCTACTGCCCAGGGACTCAAAACATCAATTATATGTGAAAACTTTAGTGCAGAAATAAAGATAATTCACAAATGTAGCCAAATAAAATATCGTTATTTGCTACATAATTTACTAGAACAAGATAGAAGCATAGTTTTAGTCACAGAATCACAGAATCATTTATTGGTTAGATGACAACCTTTGTAGATTATCTGGCTCAATAACCTCTCAAACAGGGCTTGTTCAGGGCCTTGCCCAGTTACATGTTAAGTATCATCAAGGATGGAGATTCCTCCTTGGGCAACAGTTCCAGTGTTGGACCACTACGATTGTGGAGAAAGGCCCTCTTACTCGACCTTGGACTGTGGCTCTTGGAGCACCCTTATTTGCAAGGCACCTTCTCCAATACCAGATAATTGAAGGGAAATTAAACATCTGAGAGCATCACAGTCCTTTATCAGTTGAGTACTTACCTTGTGCCCTGCTTCTGCCTGTGCCTTCAGGATATTGCTTTTGACATCTGCTGGAAGCCATGTTGCTGCTGTGACTGGGCTCTCAACTACACTGTTAAGACATTTATCTGTCAACTTTACCCCTTCATCCTAGACATAAAAAAAAAAAATCTTTATTAGAAGCAGTTCCCACATTTAAAAGTCTGGGCTGAAGTTTCTCAACATCTCTAAATAACAAGGCTCTGAGTGAAAGTCAAGTCAGCAGATTTATACTGAAATGAAAAAGCAGTTTTTTCCTTTATTTTGGAACTCAGTTGTAAAGTCACAGCAAAATGAAGTAAAAAAAAAAGCACAATGCTTAAAAGTGGAAATGCAAAGTGCTATGCTAAAAATCCAGCATGCAAGAACTGAAGTGGACCCTACATTTGCAGCCTAGTTTACTGACAGGAGATCGATATAGCAGCCATCATGTTATATCATCAGTATTGTCTAACTGTAAGTTGATAATTTACTCTCAAATGCAAGCTGGGAAGATTTTTACCTTAAAATCCACTTATAAATTAGAACAACAGTTTAATGTGCTATTAGCTACCTCTTCCATCACTGATTATACCAGAGCAAACCGGCAGCTAGATACATAATGAAGACAATTAAAAATGAGATACCTTTCACTACAGTGTATTTCATGATGTGAATTGCATTTCTTAATTATAAAATTTTAATTAAGCATTCAGTCTACTAATTTCTATTCGATTAGCGACATAAGTTAATTAACTGAGTGGAAGCTAACCCTTATGACCTTTCCTCTCGGGGCATGACTCAGCAGAGGGAGGCAGAGTGCCGCTCTCCTCGCCACAGGCTGTGCTCGCTGGCTAAGGCCGGCTCTTCCCCGGGGGCAAGTGCCACGTTCCTGCAGCACCCCGGGCGAGTGGGCACAGTCCTGCTGCGCCAACTGCAGCATGTCCAGAAGGAACGATGCCCATCGCACAGGGAGGGCAGGGCAGAGAAGGGAAAAGAGGGCAATAGCTGGCCCCCACGCAGCTCCCCATCCACTTTTGGCTTGTTTGGGTCACTGGAAACGCTTGTGAGAACTTCTGCGTATTTGGTCTTTAGGGAGGGGAAAACCAGTTCCTTTTCTTGTCTGCCTCTCAGTCACTTTTCGAGGTATCCAAACAGGAACTCACAAGACTACCTAAAGGAGAACCTGTTTTAAAATTGTGACCCCAGTCAGCAGTGAACTTTGCAAGATGCTCAAGGGTCACTGTCAACATCTGAAGGCCTGAGGACCAACAACCAGTGTTGCTAATGACTATTCCTAGCAGATATTAAGAGAGGTACATTCACATAATTCATGAAGACTAACAAAACAATCAATTATTAAACGTTTAAGTGTTTTTATTTTATAGAAGCCTCTGGAATTGCCAAAGGTCTGGAATAATTAAAAATGAATTATTATTATGATTATTATGATTATTATGATTATTATTATTATTACAGTTGCAGTACCCAACTGTGATAATCCTTAAATCCTTACACTGGACCTCAATGAACCAGCTGCTGTAAAGTAACAGTCCCTGTACAGAATTTCCAATGCATTATTCCAGTACCAGTGATAGAGTAATTTTATTACTTTAATTGAGCACATCAGTACACTGGTGCTTTAAGCACCATTTTGTGGTTTAATTTCCTCTCAGCTTCCTCCACCTGAACCACCAGTTTAATTAGGTCATTCTAGTCTATAAGCAGTTAGATTCTCAACTTCTGAAAAGTTTAGTATTATTAAGAAATATCTTAATGTAATCAAGTATAAGTTTTGTATCACCAAGGAAATATTTACATCAATATTAAAGCTACATTTTTCTCAGTCCTTTCTATTTTGTGCTTGAAAAAAGCATTGGTGTTTTACTGGCTTTTTTAATAGAAAGAGCATGTAGCTAGAGGGGAAAGCATCTGGCACCTGCTAATGCCTCAAGATGTCTAATTTACAAGACATTTCAGCTGTTCACATAAAACAATAAAGCTGCTGGGGTCTGTCAATATTCTAGCTCGTTACCAATTTTTATTGTTTCCTTGTATTAGACAGACTATATTTGTACTCTATTCTTCAATCAAAATACAGAGCTAGGCAGCGATGTAAAAAGGGAAGGAAAGACTAAAGGCAGCAGCAGGCTGTGCGATCCAAATCCTTTGTGCTTTTCAGCAGTGTTCCCGGTGTCACTGAGAATCACTTTGTGCAGGGAGACGGAGTCTCATACAGGCACATTTTGAAGCAACTTCCATGTGTTTACAGATCACAACAAATTCAGAAAAAGAAAACCCTCACATCCTTGCATTTCTGACTCTGGAGCAGACTGCGAACATGGGCAAAGAGGGTGAACTTTTTATTGTTCATTTCACTTCAGAAGCTGATGAAAGCCGAGTGTTGGTGTATTTAAGAGCTATTTGCTCTCTTTTGTCAGATTTGGTCACTGCGCTAGTGAAAGCTGGGAAAGGACAAAGTCTCATTCTTCCATTCCAATGGATCTTGGCAGGGAGCAGCAGTGAAGAATGAAGCCATTCATTCCCCCTTCCCAGTTCTCATTCTAGAAAGATTTCTCTTTTTCTCTAAAAGAACACGGATAGCTAGGTAAATATTTCCCTATCAAAGAAATCAATCAAGATTGATCGATTGCAAGTACAGAATTACATGAAGATGATTGTCAGGCCACCTCTGACCCCTGATGGAAAACAGTTGCAGATTTTTAATTAACAAAGCTGAAGCGAGCAGTTCATTGGCATTTGACAGTGTCACTTACCAAGTTCATGATGCAGCTCTACCTTCATAAGCAGAAAGCTAATGCTTTCCCCCGATGCATTTTAGCAAACCTTTTATGTGCTGTAACCATTTCTACACAGGTAGAAGCTTATGCACTGGTAAAACTTAAGGCAGATGAGACATGCTGAAATTGTAATCACACCCTTCCAGAAAGAACACGGTAACACTGTGTTCATAAGTAACAGTAAGCTCCAGGATCTAAGCTCCTTACAAGGTTTTAGTGGATATATTGCAATATTGCAGTCTTCAGTCAGATGATGATGCCATAAACACCCCTTTTACAAACAGATTAAGAACAGAAGTGCAGGAGGAGAGCCAATAAGTACATTTTGTAACAAACACCGTGAGTGGAAATCTGTATTTTTTCTACAGCAGCCTTCAAAAGCAGGAAACAAAGTGGTTTTAATAGTTATTCTTAGGTCACTGTTTTCAGGACTCATTTCCAAACCACCAACCTTTATGCCGAATCACAACTGGGTGTGCTCATTTGGTGCTCCTGTAACCTACACGTCTTTGCAATTTGAAGCATACAGAATTTAAAGTACACAGAGACAGTCTCTAATCTTTGTCTACCCTTTTAAACAAACACTCTCAAGTGACCTCTTGGTAAGCATAGGCTGAAAAGCTTTATTCAATCTTTTCTACCCGAGGAAAACCACTGATGGACCTACTCTTACATTTTCATAATATAATTTGCACTTCCTTCTTGAAAGCTGAAGGCTCTTTTACCCAAGGAAAGAATCATATTGGCATACTGTTGATCCATACATCACCTATTTCTCAGTTACACAAATGTTCTTGCTGTCTAATCAGGTTGCTATCACCCCAGGGTCTGTAACCTCTAACATTCGAAGTTACTCAGCACCTCCTATGACAGCAGCTGGATAACTGTAACTGGACTGTACTGGCAGCTGTTTGTTACATTAACTCATTACAAGAATCTTATCTTGTTTACTGAACATCAGCCACAATTTAAAAACCACTAAGACACTTTTGCTCCATTCAACAAATCCCCTCTCTGTCTGAACTAAAATGGAGCTCAACAGGCAAAACCATTCTGAAGTAAACTGCGTTCATTTGCTTTAGTTTATGTGGAGGCAGTGTTTTGGCACAACAGGACCTACAGGCTACTGACTAATCTCCTTAGAGACTTGGTAATCTTTGTAATGCCCTCATGGAGCAGAGGTGCACAAGGCATCCCCGACTACAGCCCTTAAAGGGGACGCGAGCCCAACAGCCGCGGCACCAAGCATACTAAAGCAGCAGCCTTCTCTCACACAGGGGAACAAATGCTCAGGAAGGGGCTTAATCCAAACACCAAACACCTCTTTTGGCACCTGGCTCGTTTTACTATTGAGGGAGCAATAAAAATCATAGCTGCTTCAGTGAAAGTTATATAAATCCTCAGGCCTCCCTGCTAGGGAGGGTAGTACAAACAGAGATAACACTGCCAGGTGTTTTACTCTCTCTGCTTGCTCAAAATGCAATAAAGCACCTTAAGCTTCAACACCGGGGGAAGCAGAGTAAGGAAAATCTAAATTCCGAATTTTTTAAACCTCACTGAAAAATAAGAATAATATTCTGCATGGGTGCAGCTGTCTGATAACCGGTGAATCTACGAAAGGTCACTGCTGTTGTAAGGGAGGATCCTGTCCTCTCCATCCCTTCTAGCAACACTGCTTATTTTCACTACGGATCTGGCATGTCTTTGACCCCTTCTATGAACTTATTTCACAACTTAAAAACCAAACCAAACCCCCCCCAAACCCAACACCTTAAACAAAAAAGACAAAATTCTTTGTTTGCTATTTTTGTAGGTTACATTGGTTCACCCAAACATGCCATGATTCCTGGAGGTGGCAGAGAAGAGGCAATCCAGGGAAGGAACAACAAAGACGACTGAGGGAGAAGAGGGCCCTTGCCCTGTTCAGGCACTGAAGCTTGTACTTTGGCTCAGCTGCCTGTGGAAATGCAGCCTGACTTGCTCAAAATGATTTATGAGAGCGCTAAATCAAACCACTCTCCCTGTAAACACACAGAGCACTAACACCTACTTCAGAGAGCAGGTAAAAACACATTACCTAACAGGAGAGATGGATCACCAGCAAATTTGACACAAAACATCAAAACAACGTTCTGGAACAGTTACCAAAGGCAACTGAAAAACACCAGGAAAGCAGCTCACTCCTTCAAAAAAGATGGTGAACTATACACCACCACACAGTTAGTAACCTACTGATAAAGACAACTGAGCAACTTTTCAAGCATTTATGACTGTTATTCCCATTGATTTCAAAAAATTTCAACAGGTTGCAGTCTTTATACGTGCACATGCAGCTCTGCCCTCATCTTTATATCACTGCTCCATAACACACAGGTTTATATATAACAAAGCATTTGTATTTCCCCACGACTCACTTCTGTTCTTAAAAATCTTACAAACAGCCCAAGCGGAAGACTTTTCAGGATGTTCTGAACAAAACTCAGCAACTCTGCCAGAAGGAATGAAGCCCAAGTACCTGCACGTTTATGTTTACATTGGGACCCTCAGCTGGCACGGGGCTGCTGCACTCTGTCTCCAGCTGTTTCAGTTTTAGGAACGGGTCTTCAAAAGCTGAAAAAAGACAGAAAAGATTTCATCTTTCTAATGTCACCGTGGAGTTATTTGACTTGTAACTTGCAATCTCCCTGAACACTAATTATACAGTTTTGAAGTTGTGGAAAAAAGCACAGGGATGGGAAAAGCTTCCTGCTCACCCTTCAGTCCAGCTTTCAAGCCTACAGACTGTACATATGTAATCACAACGCTCCGCACTCCTGCAAGTTCATTTACCCAGCCATCCTCACAGTGAATGAGCAAGCAGCAAGAGTTAATTGCTCAGATGGTTGCACTTCATTTGTGCTAAAGTCAGGTCCCGTGGAGAACTGTGACTTTTCCCTTGTAACCCCTGTTGGAAATAATATCCTTGGAAATAAGCTGCTTCCAGCTGAAACTGGGAGAGCTGACTTCGTTGTTCCAGTGGTGAGTAAAACTGTCCTTATGCATATAATCTAAGGGAGCTTTCTATAACACTTCTGGGTTTTTGTAAGGAAACAACCTCATAACAACCTGATCAGTTAACTCTGACCCACCCCCATCATGACAACTGGGAAAAAATCTGTAAGCTTGCTTACGATCAGAGCTTGCTTTTTCAGCAACAGCTTCCTTTGTGCCGGGACGAGGGCAACTAACAGCCTCTTCTGAATCTCCTGTTGCCAAGGCAACAACTTGACGGCCCATGGCATCATCAACACAAGTTTCTGGCAACTCCATGCTGTCTAGCAAATCAACAAGAGGTATGCTGCAAAGGCAGAAAGATGGGCACAGATACACAGAATCATGTTACCACTCTTCCTGTAACAAGAAAAAGCTTTAACACGTGCAATCTATTTTTTCAAGCTGTCTTCTGGTAACCAGACGCATTCTGTAAAAACTGTTTCAGGTAACTAACAGACATTACAGACATTAGCTTTCATTGATTTTGGGGAAAAAAAAATAAAGGAACATTCCATGTCCGTAGGAGTGACTTCATAACAGAACAGGTCCACATTGCCTGCTGCTTCATCACAGAGCAGTGGAAAAAGTGAAGAGAAGGAAGGAAGTTTTTAATCTATTAAATACACTTTTTGGAACAAACATCTGAAGTTTTTTTAACGATCCCAAAGTGTGCTTTAGGATTTTTGCACAAGAAGAAGAAAAGCTGGGGCGAGGAGGGAAGTTGACACTGTTACAAAAAGCCATTTGTACAGCACCCAACATTTGCAAGCAGAACAGAGGGCAGAAGGGTCTTCATTGACACTATGGTATGTTTAGTAACACTTACTGCTGGTTTCAGCTTTATTAACCTGGGCAGAAACACGAATGAAACCTTAGCAGTCACAATATTTTAAGTGAACCACAGCATGCACTCCGTACTCCATAGGATTACTTTTTTCACCTCTTTCACTTTCTAATGGAAACATCTCCATTTTATTTTGTCCTACCATCTGTATTTACAAAGAAAATAGAAAGACAGTAACAAACAAAAGTTGTATTATGATGCTTATGTTGTGCAAACAGTCAGGAATCTCATCCATCTCTTCCAAGTTCAGGAACAGCTAAAGCTATCCTACCAACCAACTGTAACAAATGTGGACACAACTTCTGCAGAACACGATGGTTAATCAGACAACCTGTGCACACAACTACAGTTTGATTGTCACCCATTTCAATCAACAATCGCACTCCAATACAGTTTGGCTGCAATACTGGTTTAAGAAGGGTAAAAAAACCAAACCAAACCAAACCAATCACTTTTGAAAGTCGTGTCCCAAATACGAGAACAATGATACCAAGCAAGTACCCACCACAACAGAACTTACCCTTATGCACGGACAGAGATGCTTCCTGCTTGACGGTTTAGACCAGCTTCTTGCTTACTGCTCCTGGGTTAATGCCCCTTGCCTCCCTCCAGCCCCCTCCTGCAATTTGGAAGCAGTCCCGTGTTGCCACTAGAGGCTCCGGGAAAAAACTCCTTCCACCAGCTCATGCACTCAAAAGGATCCTCCCAATATTAAATATACAACTCTGAAACAGATCACTTGTTTTAGTGCTAATAATGTATGATCACCTTAACATAATTAACTGCCCTGAGGCAAACTGAGGTCACTTGTTTGATTCTCTTAAAGTGGAATATGAGGCTACTAGCAAAGCAGGTAACTGGAAACTTTTCAGTCTACCGTACAGCCTCTCTGTGGAACAGGAAATGGCAACAGGAAATGACTGATAGGAAATGGCAATCAGCAGGCAGGCTTGCAAAGGGGGAATGATGGATACGGAGAATTTCAATTATTAGAAGTAATAGGCAGGAATAGATGCTATTCCAATTAAGGCAACAAAGAAAGTGAGACTGAATCCCATACGTTACTATCCGAGGATGCCTGATATGAGAGCTGGCTTCTTCAAATGAAGCCAACACTTTTCTTCCTATTTTCTGACAGTTTTCTGTAAAAAGCCTCCCAAATGTTTAATATGACAACCACTACAGCAAGTTCAGATTTCGCCTGCAGCACAGAGAGATGCTGATGTCATGACATGTTGAAGGAACTAGGTATAAGCTCCTACAAACTCCACATAAGAGATGTAGAGCACCGGTAACACTGCTTCGTACTGAATCTTCTAATGCTTTTCTTAGCATTGCAGCACAGTAGAGAGAAAATGAGTGAAAAATTAAATTTAACCTTCATTAGAAAATTGCTAGGATAATTACACTAGGCTTTTCTTGCCACTGTGACAACTGCAGTAACGTTTACTAGACAAAAGAGTTGATTTAAAAACCTGCCCCCTAGAGATAAGGGCAGTCTTGAAATCTGGTGGCATATCCAAATGGCACACTCAGTGTCTAGTGTTGCTCCAGAAGCAGCGTACTGCTTATATTGAGGTGATGAAAGTTTGTAGAAAAACTTATTGACATCGGTCCCCTGGGATGGAGGACTGGCTGAGGAAGCAAGGACAACTGCGGTGAGTCCCTGCAGCTTCACCCCTGCAGCACAACGGGGCCTCAGGGAAACGAAATACATTTTAGGCAGACTCAAGAGAAGCCTTCTAAGCCAAAATTCGAGTAGGAATTGACCCCATTTTACCTTCACTGAAACACTGAAACCACTGAAACACCTGCTCAGCCACCCTGAGACAGGCAGTCACAACAGGAAAGTCATACTAGAGATCCTCAACCACCGGAATTTGCAGGCACGAAAGAGGAGTTCCCCAAAGAGCATTAAATTGTTCAAGGCCAGATTCTTCATCCTTTTCAGAGCCTCAGCAGTAAGTCCACCGTGCAGGCTTCATAAACAGCCAGACTACAGAAGTACAAAGCAAAAGACACTGTTCTAATCACCGCACAGAATTTCTGACTTCTCTAACAAAACACTGAGGAACTGTCACACCAATCATAAGGGAAGTAATACAAGACTTCCCAGGAAACGTAGGGCTTCTACGACAGCCAGTGTGCAGTACTCAAGAATGAAATGGGCACTAGATTTCCATGTTACTGTATGTACCTACATACAAAGGGATATCTGAACTTTGCAGAGTAGTGCGTGCCAGGCTTTATGTCTTCAGCATCAACTTCTATCAGCGTATTTTAAAAAATGTTCTCAGGAAAAGCTGATAAATGATACCAGGAGTTCAAGCTGTACAAATAATTGTGAATACAGGAATAATCAAAGGATTTTAGTGCATGCAAAGCTTGTCAACCCACTAATAAATCACAGAGAAGCTGTTACATGTTCTAGAAACTCCCACAGTTAAGGGAGTTCGCTACTGCATTATTTCTTCTTTTTGCCTGATATATTGATATTAGTGTGTACCACACAGCATACAATGCATAACATGACTGAGAAAGCTGTCAGTTACAAAGGGTATGATTTTTTTTTTTAAATTTCCTAGTGGAAAAGCAAAACAATATTTCATTCTAGTTTGTGAAATACAATCTGCAAAATACAGTAACTACCCAAGTCTGCAGCAAAAGAGATAATTCTTTTGCAAGTAATCTAATTTAATACAGCATGGAGCACCATGCAAGCTAATTTATTTTTTTAAGCTGGTAGTAACACAATAGTTCCTCACACTGACTCTGCGATGTAGTACAATAATATGAAATTTTGTTCATTTCCTTAATTTTGAGTCATTCCAGATTGTACCTGAAAGTAAGAAGAATAGCAAATTTAAGCCTGTCGCCTTTTCAGATTTTTTTTTCCTAAACAAAAATGCAAAATATTCAGAAAAAAAATAACTTATTTTTCCTTTTAAAACAAGGAAAGCAAAAGAAAAAATCCTGGGCATGTATGATCCTACAAATGGAGATTGTTCCCACACATTCAGTTTCTCATCAAGCAGACTGAGTCCCACATTCCAAGACTTCCGCTGTCTCCCATTTGTTTGAAGGTAATTCCAAATTACATAGCATAATACATGCAAGTCAACAGCTACAGGAAAGGAAAGAAAACACCCTTAGGAAAAGGTGCCAGCTGCTGCAGAACCTTTCTGGATATTAAGCGGAGATCTGTCACCACCATATAGTTTAGAAAGACATCCATGTGTTTCCTCAGTGCTACTCCTGGAGCACAGGACCGGTTCCTCTACAAGTGCAGCTGCGTGTCACTGGTACTAGTGTGGTACAATTCCTGTCTGCTACTGAGAGCTGTCACCCCAGTGGAAACCAGGATAATACCTCTCCCTGTGTTCATGAAGTCACACTAAAGTAAGCCCAGCACAGAGCAAAACTGACCCTCAGGATGTATGCCAGATTCAAAGCCACTTGGCAAAAGCATGCAACAAACATACACCATACTAAAATAAATCAATTCTACAAGTAGACAGATCTCAGACAATCACGGTTGCTTCCCTTATCCTGATTCTGAACTAGCTCTGGTGTCATGCAAAAAAAAAAAAAAAAAAAAAAATCTATGAAAAATTTAGCCACAGCTTTAATTACCAAACTTGCAGTTAATCCCCAGGGCAGCCCTTGAGAGCACGCTGCCGGCAGCTGGGACACCCAGCCCTGGAGCGCGGTGCCCGGCCCCGCGACGGGGCAGACGTGGACAGAGCGGAGGATGCGCAGCACGGGGCCAGGAACGAGATAAAGGGCCTGGAGCGTCTGACACGGGGGGAGAGGCCGAGAGAACAGGGACTGTTCAGCCTGGAGAGGGAAAAGCTCAGGAGGTTCTTCGAAAAACCTGATGGGAGGAGTAAAGGCAACAGCCAGACTCTTCTCAAGGGAGGCCAGAGGCAGGACAAGAGGCAACGGGCACAAACCGGAACACAGGAGATTCCACTTGCCACTACATAAGCACATCTGAACTTAAAACTCTGCAAAAAACCTGTGACTTGTTATTGCAACACAGTCCTTGCATTTTAAATACAAAACTATCCCAAATTCCTCCACTGAGATCAGTGGTTTCTTTTCCCTCATCTACACAGAAATTATATAGTATTTTCAAGATAAAATACCTATTTTCATTTGCGTATTCTTACGCAACTTTATAAATACTGAGGAAACAAATAGCTTTGCTTCACTCCAGAGGTTTACAACATCCACCCTGCAAAATCTGAAACTAAAAATAGCACATCAGATTGCCCTAATCACCTCTGCAGATCCTACAGATATTTAATACGTAGCTTGCATTTTTTTGTTTGTTTGTTTTCTTCACTAAAGCTGTAAAGTAGTCTCTTATTCCTTAGCAATCTCTTTCCCCGTCAGATGCAGGGGTGAGAAGGCCAAAATATCTCAGGCAATGTTAAGTTTTGTCCTGGCTGAGACTT